GGCGCCTTACACCGACAAAGCAAGGAATCTCTCAAAGGATGCAACATTTTAGGAGGGAGTGTTCAATGTTATCCTCCCCGGTGCCTAAAAATGACAAAGCATACCGACTACTCCATTTAAGGGGGAGTACAGAGAGAAAATCAAGAAAGTAATGAGAGAACATGTCCCTATGGCTTAGTAAACCCAACTAAGCCTACCCAAGGGACAAAGCCGAGCGTAAGTGAGTGAGTGAGCGAGTGAGTGAGTGAACATTATGAGCATTAGGAAGCAGAAGGCTCAAGTGAGCAAGGAAACAATAATCAATGATAAGTCTGATACCTCAACTGCCTGCTATCAATTGAAGATTTACTCCTAGCAACTCAAATACTCTGGACAATCCCCATAGGTTCAGGACTGATTTAATCAGATCCTGGGTAGAAGGCACTGCATCTTGTCCAACAGTGCATGCTTAACCCTACCCAAGACCACTCACTTGTCTCCCAACAGACAGGTGTTTAATCATATTTCACGGGGAACCGCGTCTCTCATTACTGTCTCCTTCTGAGGCAAGTGATACTGACTACAGTGGCCTCAGCCCCATGCCACTGAACTTTCATTGATCACGTCATGTCTAGTAACATCACTCCCAATTGTTTTGAAATTTCTAGGACACAGACGCACTTTTATAGTCAGTTGCAGGTCTTCATGACCCGCGAGAACTTCCATATGGCTCATCTATTACAGATGTAGACCAATGATTGGAAGGAAGTCCTGCTGTTGCAACATAAGAATCACCAACTTTTTCAGGCGATTGCTTTAGAGTTTATCTCTATAGTGATGATAACGAGTGTCTACATGACCTCGAGGGGCTACAAGTTCTTAATGCTAATCTTTATGATTTTGCCATAACAACCAGAGTGACATCTATTCGGATGCTTCACAATGACTGGTTGGAAGTCCTGTTAAAGCTGTAATACTTCTATCATTTTATACATGCCACACATCAGTGTTTACATTGATGATTGTGATAACGGAACACCATGGTGTCTCCGGTGTTTACTTTTCTGTTTGTTTTTTTGTTTCTTTTCAGTTCGAGCAAAAGAATAAAGACATGACGCCCCGAGTCATCGGATCGTCATGAGGGGGAGTGGTCCACATGCTGTTAACTGTCAACAAATCAATCTGGGACACTTCTCTCCTCAAACACTCTCTCTACTATCTCCGCGACTCAAATGGTCAGCTACGCTCACAAGTCAACCATCATTATGTTCCGCTGTGCCACCAACAAGTTCTCCTCAAATGCATTCATTCCAAATAGTAAAAAAGACTACATTGTGGAGGAGACAGAGGTCAAATACTCGTGTACTGAAGATGAATCCCGTGCGCCCCTGGTAATCATCAGAACATTCATTCTAGAGGCGTCACCGGACTTCATCCAAGCTGATCAAGAGAAACTTCTGGAAGGCAAGGATTACAAGAAAAAGATTCCTCAAACCCCGACATCAAAGATCAAACTGCCAAGAAAACATCAAAGGGGAGATTGCGAGGATTTCTTCATAAAGCCTTCTCAAGAAGTCAAGTTCAAAGACAAAGGAAGCTCAATAACAATAAAGACAAAGATATTAGTGCTGCAATGCTGATTCAACAGTACACGATTGAACACCAAGGGGGAGATTGTTGAGAATATTTTATGGTGTTCAATCTAGTTAAATATATTTGTATTTGTGTAGTTATTAATTAAATGTGTAATATGGGACACAAATGTATATCAGCCCGTTAACTTCTTTGTGAACCATAAGTTAGCCATCCTCTCCTATAAAAGGAGGCTAACTTACGGGAAACCTAAGGTTTGAGGCTTTAGAGAATAGAGGCGCAGATATAGAGAGATTAGGTTTTCCGCTACTCTCTCTCTAGAAGGAGAGCAGCGGCACTCTACACGGTATACCAGATTCGTTTGTTCATCTCGATATCTTTCTATCTGCTTCTTCTTTATCTGCTACGATTGTTTGATTGTTTAGAAACTGGGTATATCAAACTATAACATCGAAAAAGACTATGGTTGATTTAGGATGCTTTCTTTACTTTATTTTTCATGAAACTTTTATTTCTGATGGAACCTTTGTTGTTGAACACTTTTGTTATACTGATATTCCTTGCTACCATTTTATGAAATATTTATACCATATGGTGTTAAGTTTAATTACTTGTCTCATTTATACAATTTTGTTTTTGAAAATTTCATATCATCTGATTTTATTTTTAGTTACTTATTCCATTTATTGTTATGAAAGTCAAATTAAAATGACATTTAAATGTTTGTATATGTTGGATGAAATGGAAGATGAAATGAGGGGAACAAGTAGTGAAAAATTTTATGAGATGTTTGTCAGTTTTTCACTTCTCCAGCTCAGACCACGCATTACGAATCACACAGAGCACCACCAAGAGACGAGACAATCACACTCAGGCTAGCCCAGCCATCTCAACGCACACCACAACCAAAAAAATGGAAGGAAGATGAGAGTAAACACGAAGGGACTGAAGAAGAGAGCACTGTTCACACAGTCTCTTTCTCTTTCTCACACTCAGGCTAGCTCAACCATCTCAACGCACACCACAACCAAAAAACGGAAGGAAGATGAGAGTAAACACGAAGGGACTGAAGAAGAAGAAGAAGAGAGCACTGTTCAAACAGCCTCTTTCTCTTTCTCACTCTCTCTAACCCCTCTCAAGTCTCAAAGAGAGGAAGAAGAGATTAGGTATGAAGGGCCAAGACGAACCTTAAAGGAGGGTTCTGGAAACAGGCTAAGCGAGAACAGCACAAGCCAGACACAAAGGACTCAGCAACGGAGGCCAACAAGAGGAGAGGGCTACCAAAGCCCTAATGGGCTAGTACCTCCAAAATGTCAGGTTTTCACTTCTTCATCTCAGACCACACACTACGGATCACACAGAGCACCACCAAGGGACGTGACAGTCACACTCAGGCTAGCACATCCATCTCAACGCACACCACAACCAAAAGAGCAGAAGGAAGATGAGAATGAACATGAAGGGACTGATGAAGAAGAGAGCACTGTTTGAACAATCTCTCTCTCTCTCTCTCTCACTCTCTCTAACCCCTCTCTATTGTGAACGGACAAAAGACCTCAAGTCTCAAAGAGACGAAGAGGAGCTTAAGTATGAAAGGCCAAGGTGAACCCTAAATGAGGGTTCTGGAAACAGGCTAACCGAGAACAACATGAGCCAGACACAAAGGACTCAACAACGGAGGCCCAACAAGAGGAGAGGGCTGTCAAAGCCTTAATAGGCCAATACCTCCACAATGTTGAAGAATTTTATTAGCTCTTAAAGCAATACTTCAAGTGTTGAGTGACCTGTTACCGTTAATGCATGAGGGAGAGTATATTGATTGTCCTTCTCGCAAACCTATCACCATCATTGGATTTAATTACATAACTGAAGATCCTGAGTTTTTTAGACAAATGCATTGGATGTATCCTGATGTTTTTCTAAAACTTTGTAGCATCATTAGGGAAAAACACCGGTTCGAGATACCCGTTATGTTTGCATGGAAGAAATGTTTGCGACATTTTTACTTAATGTTGGTCAAAAAACAAAGTCGATCGGTTTTGTCATTTTTGTGCTACACGCAAGACATTTGGTAGAGCACATTCTACTACTAGCATAAATTTTAACAAAATTGTGAATGCTCTAAACACAATTTCATCAATGATGACGGTGAAACCGGCAACAACCATGTTTAGCAAAATCAGAGAGAGTACACGATTTTATCCTTACTTTAAGGTAATCATTTACTACTCCTATAAAACTTTAATTGTTTATTATAAGTTTAAAAATATTATTATTTATTTTCTCACTAGGATTGTACTAGAGCAATTGATGGTACACATACGGAGCGGAAAACTATCACAAAACGTGTTCGCTGCTTATAATTTTGACTTGGAGTTCATTTATATTCTTAGTGGTTGGGAAGGTTCAACTCATGATTCGAAATTATTAAATGATGCACTAAAAAGAAGAAGTGGGTTAAAAGTTCCACTGAGGTAAGCATCATTTTTATCACTATAAGGTATTTTATAAGATATTTTGTATTTGTGTCATATAGTAATTTTATCTTTTATTTCAGTTGTCATCTAGGAAAGAGTTTTCTGGTTGATTGCGGATTTGCAAAATCATCGTCAATTTTTGGCTCCATTTCAAGGTGTTCGATATCATCTTCAAGATTTTGGTGGGTAAGGTCATCATCCTGAAAATGAAAAGGAATTATTCAATTTACGTCATGCTTCCTTGAGGAATGTTGTTGAGAGAATATTTGGCATTTTTAAATCACGGTTTTCAAATTTTTAGTCAACCCCTCCATTCTCATTCAAAACGCAAACAGAGTTAGTATTGGTTTGTCGAGGAGTGCATAACTTTCTATGCAAAGAGTGTCGCTCTCAAAACGCAAGATGAACAAAGGCAATATGCAAATCAATGGAGAAATGATATTGCACAACAAATGTGGACGGATGTTATAATGAAGATTGCATAGATTGAATCTATTCCTTTTGTTACTTTAGTAAAGTTCCTAATTGTTTGAGGTTGTGCTTTGATTATGGATTAAATATCAATTAAGTAGTTTCTTTTTATTTCAATTTGTGGTTTTTCTGTAAATATGAGTAGATTGAAGTCAATTTATCGTTAACTTTCCCCGGTGAGTTTTGAAAAAATGCAAAAAAAGAAAACGAATAAAAATTTTATCAAAATATCACGACAACTTTTTCGATGACGGTTTGCGGCAGCTGAGCAGATGTGAGGGTCGGAGACTAGGGCAGCGGGTGACACTGACTTGTATTTCAAATCTATTAAAACTAATTGAAATCCATATGATTCTATGATTAGAATTCCATAAAACTTCATATGAATCTATCTCATGAATGCGTAAAATTCTATTAAAATTCATAAAATTCATTTAAAATTTTATTAAAATTTATGTTTTTGGCCAGACTTTGTAAACTATTTGGAAGTGTCAGACCACTTGCCCAAAAAAGATCATTCAACCGTAACGGTGGAACTTAGTTAACTCCGCCAATCCAACTGATATCTCGAAGCTGAACGCCATTACAGGCTAAGGCGAGCTCTATATACAAAGTAGCTCCTCCCTTCATCCTAGCTTCTCCAACTAATCCCTCTGTCTATACTCAAAATGCAATACGCGATATCTCTCTCCGCTGCGGCTGCGCCAGTGCAAAGATCGGACTGCGCCGCCGGAATTCATGGCTATCTAGTGCCCCGATCAGTGCAATTTTGCGGCCTCAAGAGGGAAGCGTTCGGAGAAAAATCGTTGAAATCTTCAATGTATTCTACTCGATTGGATTCTTCTTTCTCGAAACGTCCACATTTTGAAAAGCTGTCCGCCTCGTTGGGAAATGGCGCGCCTTCTAGTGGATTTGATTATGATTTGTTGATTATTGGCGCTGGTGTTGGCGGCCATGGTGCTGCTCTTCATGCTGTTGAGAAGGTGAAATTCTTTTATCCTTTTTGCTTCTTCTAAAAGAAGGATAAAAAATTAAACCTTTAAACCTTGAATTGTTAATTCGCCAAGATGTTTGGTATGGAGTATTTCAAAATGATGCAAGAGCATTGTGAAATCTTGTTCGTGATTTTTATATCTTATCACTATCCAATAATGTGTAAGATTCACAGCTTAAGATTTTGGAAATGGAAGTTTATCTCTGTATGCACTGCATTAGTATTTGAACTTGATTACTGGGTGTTTCTCCCATTCACATCTTTACACGCTGCACATTACTTCTGTATACAATTCCAAACAAGGCTACTTGGAAAATGGATCTGTATTTGGATGAAACATCAGTTACTTGATATGATGCGAGTCATATTATCGAGCTTGACCCTTTTTGGTCGTAACTTGTTACTAGAGAAATGACCCAACACTTGATCATTATTGTAAATGATCAACGAAAATTCTAACGCATATCCTTTTAGGGCTTAAAAACTGCAATTGTTGAAGGCGATGTAGTTGGAGGAACATGCGTGAATAGGGGTTGTGTTCCTTCTAAAGCACTACTAGCTGCAAGTGGCCGTATGCGAGAGCTTCAAAATGAAAACCACATGAAGTCTTTTGGCTTACAGGTACCCATTCTTGATATTATCAAACCTCATTCTTTCTGTTGAGCTTATGAATCTATTTCTCTGGATTTTTTTCTTAATTTCCCATCGCCATCAAGATGCATTATGTCTTTGTATGTGACTATGTGCTAAACTAGTCATGTTTATGATAGGTTACCGCTGCTGGATATGATAGACAAGCAGTTGCTGATCATGCAAATAACTTGGCATCAAATATTAGAAACAACTTGACTAATTCTTTAAAAAATCTTGGTGTTGATATATTGTCAGGAGCTGGTATGATTTTGGTAGGTCTTTTCTAACTTGTCGGATTACTATTCACCTTCCCAGTTCCCATATATGTTTGCACTCTAAGTTTGTAGTGTGCGTATTTTTATTTTAGGGCCCTCAAAAGGTGAAAATTGGGTCTGGGGATACTGTGGTAACAGCAAAAGATATTATTATAGCTACAGGGTCTATCCCGTTTGTACCAAAAGGAATAGAAGTTGATGGTAAGTGCGACTTTTCATTAAGTTTATTTACAGTACTGATTTAGTATGATGATTTACTGTCAGGTCCAGCCTTAAAAGCTATTGCATAAAAAGGCCTCTTGCTATCAAATGGCCTTATGATTAACCATGTAAATTGACATAGAAGATTTCTCTGCATTTTGAAAAGGTTCATGTGAGGCATACATGTAATTCTAGTGTTATGTGTAACTGCAGGTAAGACTGTAATAACAAGTGATCATGCACTCAAATTGGAATTTGTTCCTGAGTGGATTGCTATTATTGGAAGTGGCTATATTGGACTTGAATTTAGTGATGTGTACACAGCACTTGGAAGTGAGGTAGCTTGCCTTTTTACTTGTGACTATTTTACTTAAGCAGTTTGTTTCTTTGTAGTAGATAAATAAAGCAAGATGGAGTAAACCCTGTTCAATATATATATATATATATATATATATATATATATATATTTGCTTTCTTCTAGTGCATTTAAGCAATCTAAGTGTTGTAAACAACAGGTATGCATGTACATCGATTTTGTTAAGCAGCAAACATGCTGTAATAAATTTACTTTCTGTCAATGGCTTTGTAGTGATATATGTAAAACAAATATCTATTGCTTTGTAACCACTGATATCTGTTCAGCAACTTTTCATAGAGTAAGCATCCTATACGAAATACTGTTTTATGTCTACAGCCTTGCATTTTTCAGGAGCCTGCAGAGTGTGAGAATAATTTTTAGTAAAAATTGCTGCATTACTGTTCTATTTATCCAGTACTTGCATGAATCTCCTTTCATACCTAATGTTCTTCACGAGTGCAGCTAATGCATCTAATTATATGACAATTTTGGGGGTGGGGACATTATTTGATTATTGAACAATATGAACCGTGATTGAACGTATATAGAAATGCACTAATTATTTTGAATGTTTTGATGACAATTAAATTGGAAAAGACCTTTGTCTATGTGCGGACCGCTGACAATTGTCAATTGCACAGGTCACATTCATTGAAGCTCTAGATCAGCTGATGCCTGGGTTTGATCCTGAAATCAGCAAGTTGGCACAACGAATTCTTATCAATCCTCGGAAGATTGATTATCATACCGGTGTATTTGCCAGCAAGGTACTTGTTGCCTCATATAATGTCTTTAAGTGTATATCATATCATTTGCTAATTTGGTATTTGTTTGTTGTACTGTATGGCTCTGACAGATTACACCTGCAAAGGATGGAAAACCAGTGTCCATTGAACTTATTGATGCAAAGACGAAGGAACCAAAGGATACAATAGAGGTGAACTCTGTGAGAACTATCTAGGCCTATTTTATCTGGTTGATGTAGATATATATTAAACATTGCTTAAATAGAAATTCGATGGCAAAATGCATGGATTGAACTATGTCTATAGGTTTTTAAAATTCACAACAGAACAATTTCATGGGTCTTATTCATTCTCTAACATTTAGTGTTTAATGTTACATCCTAATATTTGTTCTATTGGCATATTATTATGCTAATAACACACAAATGTAAACATCTACAGAAAAATGTATTTAGAGAATATGTGTCATGCATTAACATCATAGAAAATAAGCTGATAAATAAGTGGTAAAAAGAACATTAAAAGGGTGATAAACATGTTTTTTCGCTACAAATTTGATAGCCTTTTTTTAATCTGAAACATTTAAATTTGAACTGTGGAAAATGAATTCAAAGTGTAGTTCATGGAGTTCTTCTTGGCAATTCTTCTTCTTTCTCAACTAAATTGTATGATGCCTTGCAGGTAGATGCAGCTCTTATTGCAACTGGAAGGGCTCCTTTTACACAAGGACTTGGTTTGGAAAATGTTAGTTGCAAAATAGTTTTTCAAAATCTCCTCATGTATTCCGTATTCTGAATTTTCATTGACATTCATATGAAATTAAATGCAGATCAATGTTCAATCAGTGCGTGGATTTGTTCCAGTTGATGAGCGCATGCGAGTCCTTGACGCAGATGGGCAATTGGTGTGCAATTATTACTTATTTTGAATTTTTATATGCTTTTACACTCTTCAAATGTTGTGCGGGGATCTGAAACATGGGACTCTGATGCTTAGGTTCCTCACTTGTATTGCATTGGTGATGCAAATGGAAAGATGATGCTTGCCCATGCCGCAAGCGCACAAGGAATCTCTGGTAATAATGCATTAATTTTTTTTTTTCATTTTCTTCTCTCTGTTAAGCTTTAGTTGCAAGTACATTTGGATACAAACTATGTTTGGCTATCTGTGTAGTTGTTGAGCAAGTTAGTGGAAAGGACTATGTGCTGAACCATTTAAGCATTCCAGCAGCCTGCTTTACCCATCCTGAAATCAGTATGGTTGGTCTAACAGAGGTATGATTTCAAATTACAAACCCACATGTTTATTGCAATTTTTCACTCTTGGTATGTTTTCCCATTCACTTTGTATTGAAATTTAATCTTTAAATGATTTTCATGTAATTTTGGAGCTCATTGTGCACTGCCCATTGCCACCCATCTGCTGTCTTCTATGTATGCTGTAGATGACGATATGTGAAGATAAGAGGCATTCTTAAAACATGATTTATATTAATAGTTGTCCAAACTCGTCGGGAATATTTAAAACCAAGTGGGGAAGTTGCCTGGCCTCTAAAGGCAGCTAGGGGCTATGGTTTGTCAAGGAGATAATTCCCCATCAGCTAGGGGAAGTTGCCTGGCCTCAAAACATGTTAAAAATGCAAAAATACGGGTAGAAGTTTAAAAATTCCGAAAATAAGAGTTTTTTTGTGATTGGTCATAAATGCCCCTGGCACGTATTAGCCATGCCCACTGCCACCATTACCACCTGCTGCTTCCAGCCGCCGGATCTCTGCCGCCGCCCAGATTCATGCCGCCATTCTCCGGTCGCCGGAGCTCCGACAGGCCCATAAAAAAATCCAGATTTTTTCCCAAACCCGCCTGTCACCATCGCCAGTCGCTGGAGCTCCGCTGCTGCCGCCTCCGCCACTGCCAGTCTGCCCCGCCACCAACGGGCTGCCCCGGTTATTAGGGGAAGAAAATTAATGTTTACTACTATTTGGGGAAGATTAGGAGTGAACTCCTATTTAGGGAAAACATCTATGTTTTACTCCTGTTTAAGTCAATTACTTTTTGTCAAAGCTTTTTCCATAATTTGCAATGGAGCCAAAGACTCAATATTTTTTTGGCTTGGAATATGATGGAATAAAGCAAAATGGCTTACTAAACTGTCTGTACTTCTTTGTTATGAAGCAACAGTCAGTCCATGCAATTTTCGACGCAATTTTCACTATGAGTCATCTGGAAACATTCTCTCCCTGCTTTAGTATAGGGGTAAGATTGCGTACATCCGACCCCCCTTTACCCCACCGAAGGTGTGGGAGCCTTTGCGGCACTGGGGTAATGATGATGATGACTTTTTGTCAAACCTAATGCTCAAGTTTTATGAGTTACATATTTTTTTATTTCCTGGTTTTATTCTTAAAGGAAAAATGTTTTTCAGGCAAAGTTAATTGCTTCTGAGTTATAAGTATTTATATTCTTTATATGAATAATTATTCCCAAAAATTCCAATAAACTTTCAGCCTCAAGCAAGGGAAAAGGCCGTGAAGGAAGGTTTTGAAATCAGTATCGCAAAGACCAACTTCAAGGCTAACACAAAAGCCCTAGCTGAGAATGAAGGGGATGGACTCGCCAAGGTGAGAAAATGGGATTTTCTGTTAGTCAGATTGATTCTTAAACTTTGGTTCTGCTATTGTCTCACTCTTCACTTTGTTTTTGGATCACATTGAGAGTTCTTTATCTTCTTGTTTACAGTTGATATACAGACCCGACAATGGGGAGATCCTCGGAGTTCATATCATTGGATTGCATGCTGCAGACCTTATTCATGAAGCATCCAATGCCATAGCTATGGGGACCCGCATACAGGTTTGTTCCCTTTGTAACAAGAACAACTACAACATCCAAGCCTTATTCCCAAAAGATTTTGGGGTCGACTAACATCATCCATCCATGATATCAGACCCAAAAGAGAAGAAAGATAAGAAAAATAAAAAGATAAGGTAAGTTAAAATGGATAAGATAAAAATAACATAACATCATAAGAAAGATAAAAGGTAAAAAAGATAAAAGAGTACACGAAAGATAAAAGATAGAAATAACATAAGAACATAGAAAGATAAAGGAGATAAAAGATAAAGAGAGAGAGAGAGAGAGAGAGAGAGAGAGAGAGAGAGAAAGAGAAAGGAGAAAAAAGAAATCGATCGTCCAGTCGTCCACACGAATATGCGCCCTCCACTTTGCTCTCTCCAAAGTCACTCCCATCCAATCCAAGAAGAAGCATATCAGTTTTGATTCCTCTAATTTAAGTCTGTTTGGATCTTCCTCTCTCTCCTCCCCACCTCTTCTCCCCACCTCTCAACTCCTCTAACAGATGCATCACTCGGTCTTCTACGCACATGACCAAACCACCACATCCTGGATCTTATCTTCTATAGGTGTTACTCGGAGTACTCGTACCATTTGTCTGATTATCTCATTCCTCAAGCGGTCTTTTCTGGTATATCCACACATCCAAACAACATACTCGTTTCTGTCACACTCATGTTTTGAATGTGACATTGTTTTACTGACCAACACTCTACGTCATACATTAATGCAGACTGTCCAATAAAAATTACCTCTCAATTTAATCGGCATACCTCGATCACAAAGAAATCTGATGCACTTGTTAGGAATAGATATTAAATGGGCCTATTATTAGAATTAATAATAAGTGGGCCTATTATTGTAGATAATAATAAGTGGGCTTGTACTATAAATAGAATGGGGAGGGTAGGCAAATAGGAGGCAAGTATTTGGGACTTGGATAGGCTAGGAGACTGGGCATCTCGAATAGTCCTAGGCATTGTATACGACATCTACATCGATAAAATCTTCTTGATCTCTTTCTTGATCAATTTCTTACCGATTCTTTACAATTCTGAGTATCGATTATCAGTGTTCTATCAGCACTCTTCCATTTCATCTGCCTTGCTCTTATTCTTTGAGATACATCTCCATCTAATTCACCATTCTTGTGAATTATGGAGCCTAAGTAATGAAACATATCACACACCGGTATCTCCTTATCATCAAGAGTAATCCCACTGTTACTACTACTTCTACGCACACCAAACTTGCATTCCATAAGTTTCATGCATCATGAGGAAGAGAGGTAGCCCACACAAGGAGAAAGACTCCAATTGATTTGCCAGACATAGTGTAAACAATGAATTATGACACTTTGGTTTTGGTCCCCCAAGTTTCAATTACACCAATTGGTCCCCTAATGTTTCCACCCTCTACAATTAGGTCCCTCTGTTAGCGATCTTCAGCCACCATACATTAGAAGGCTATAACACAGTAAAAATGAATAGTGTAAATAACATCATTATCATTTTTATCCAAAATAATTGGGGAGGATGTATGGAATTTAAAGTGTCAATGAATTTAGTTTACACTTTATACTACAAATTCATGGGAAGAAAATCTTATTGGCAAAGTTTTATTCTGAATGCTGTGCCTGTTACAAAGGGAAAATGAGATGAAATTCAAAATCATCATAGGTTACTTCCACTTGCATGAAAAATATCATGAGATAGTGATGTGTTGAAATAGGTTCTATAATCCTGCACTCCTGCTCCTTTTCAAAATTGATATGCTAAAACCAGCCTGCAAAAGAATGAAATATGACCATGGGAATTGTGTTAACATAATGTAAAAAAATCTCTGTTAAATGCTTTCTATTGTCTTGCCATGTACAGGATATAAAGTATGCAGTTCACGCACATCCAACATTGTCCGAGGTGCTTGATGAACTCTTCAAAAACGCCAAGGTAATGTCTTTGTTCCCTTTTATCTTCTTATTGTCAATAGGGGTAGCCTACTTTCGCTAGGTCAAATACCTTTCCCATCATCCCGTATCTGCAGTTATATTCTACTTGCTGATTCAGGATCTTATTCAAACTAATTCAGTGAACATAGTTTGTTTGGTTTATCAACTGTATGGGATTAATTGTACATTTTGCCCCCTAAGTATGCACGTCTGCGATTTTGGTCCCCTAAGTTTCAATTACACCAATTGGTCCCCTAATGTTTCCACCCTCCTTTACAATTAGGTCCCTCTATTAGCGATCTGTCCAAATTTTAACCTGAGTATACGTGCTATTGACCGAACTCCATACCAATTCATAAGCCACATGGACCCTGACAGGGTTTGGTTTTATAATTGCCTCTGGGGCCTGACTTATGATTTATCATAAATTTAAAAATCAAGTCAGCGTTAAGTACCATGTATGCTTCCTCTATTCAAGTTGGACGGGTTGCTAATGGGGGCGGACTTCCATGTGTGGGTTCGCTAGTAGCTCCATTGACCAGTATTGCACAATTGCAATACTTGGGAAAGAAAAGTGCAATAGAGTACTAGAGTAGTCAATCCAAATGTAGGTTTTCTTTGGCATTTCAATAACCATTCACATTATCTCATCCATTATGTTCCCAAAGAACCATATAGATACTATAGCCAAAGTCTACACTTTTTTTTTTGTCTGGATTGGGTATAAAGCCATAAAGATTTCAGGGCCAAATGGATAGAAAAATCCTTCACATATGTGCACCTATAAATTTGCAGGCAGAGAGGAAATCCTCCTCTTCAGTTTATGAACAAAGATTCTCCCAAAAATTTCACTGGTACTCCCTCCGTCCCATTAGAAGGTTCCCACTTTCTTTTTTTGGACGTCCCATATAAAGGTTCCCATTTCCATTTTAGGAAACAATTAACAATCTTAAGTGACAAATTAATCATTAAATATTAAAAATAGTACATTTATAATATCAGTTATCAGTCCTAACTACATTATAATATATACCTATTAAAATTATTTCTTAAAATATACTCGAAGTACTTTATTTAATTATTGTCTAAATAATCGTGCCGTTTTGCTATGGGAACCTTCCAATGGGACGGAGGTAGTATATATCAAGACTATTAGAGAACGTCTTCTGCATAAGGGAATGCACTGCCCATCTTTTATTTGCTTGTTCTGGATATTTGTATTTCTTTAATTGAACAAAGCATCATTTAGTGCTGACAAACATAGTGCTCAGTATAAAATGCCTATATTCTTTTAAATTGCAGGTCAAAGTTGAAAATTCTAGCCCAGTTAATGAGCCAGTTGCTGTTTAAAGTGCCTTGGCTAAATGTAGCCACTACAAAATGATATAGACGGGTCACTTGTTTCTGTATCACCTATAAAGAATGTTGGTTGTTTTCTAATTGTGTTTTATATTTATTGGAGGCTTAGTCTAGAGAATTTGTACTGGCTTTTATTGCCAAATAGGAAATGAACAGTTTTTCCCCCTGTAGTCCCTCGAATTGAGTATTTTTTGAGAGTTTAATGGTAATAATCTTATTGGACTTGGGAATGAGTGAAAATATATAAATCTGATGTGTGAAGAGAACATTTTGACAAAGAGGTCGCATTATATGATTACAAGTCTTATAAAGGAGCTTTTTGGAGAAGGGTGGCATACTGGCATCTAGGAGGGTATATTGAAAAACACCTGATTTACCAATTTTTTAACTGCGCATCCCAAAAGTGCTCGGTCATGCGGTCCTCATCGGCCGCATACTCCGGTAAGAACCTCGCCAAGGTTCTGAATTCTTGCTCCAGTTAGGGATGGATTCGGGCCGGGTCGGGTCCGGGCCGGGCCTAGGCCCGGTCGGGCCGCCGGTTCAAGAATAGTGGGCCCGGGACCGGCCCGAGAGTTGGACGGGTCCGGTTCGGGCCGGGCCACCCGCCCGGGTCACGGGTCGGGTCCGGTTCGGGCCGGGTCGATTAATTTTTTTTTTTAATAATTTATATTTTATAGTTTATAGTTTTATACGAGTATTAAAAACAAACTTCAATTGCATTTATTTGAAATGAAATAGGAACTACATTTGAAAATTAAAACAAACTTTAAGAGATAAACATTTTGAAAATTGTAATCAATCGGAACTTCCCGCACCTCCCGATCCTTTGGCTTTGTCACATGACTTCATATGCTTGATTGCCATCCCGAATCTGCCTGAAGCCCCCATGCTACATTTTTTCTCGCACCATTTGCAAATTGCGTACCACATCCCGGTCTTCGGGTCCTTCTGCTTATCAAAATTATACCGTATAATGGCATCTTGATTTTCCATCTTAACTTCTTAAGTATAAACTATAAAGTAGATATATAAATAATAAATATAATATATTGGAGAATAAGAGAATTAGAGAGTAGAGAGTTAAGAATAGGATTTAGGAAGAAATGGAGAAGAGATGAAAAAATGTTTAAGATTAGGAGTATTTATAGGTTTTTTTACCCCCCAACCCCCCACCCCCCCCCCACCAGCCAACCCCCCCGGACCCCCCCTTTACCCCACCCAACGGCTATATAGCCGTTTGGGTTGTCCCCAGCCCCACCCCCAACGGCTAGTAGCCCAACCAAACAATTTTTTTTTTTTAAAAAGACCGGACCCGGGCCCGGGTCGCATTATTCCAGCACCGAGCCCGCCCCGCCCCTTCCCACCGGTTCGGGCCCATACCCGGGCCCGGACCGCCCGACCGGGCCGGTCCCGGGCCCGCACAGTACCGGGCCGGGCCGGGTCACGGGCCGGGTGGCCCGAACCGAATCCAACCCTAGCTCCAGTTGTTTGACAGTTACACCCTCCTTTTGCTTGAGGTTCGTATACTCCCTACGCTTAACATTAACCTCGTAGTCGGAGTAGTATTGGGCGTAGAACTCCTGTTCAAAGTTTGCTCATGTGATAGTCCCTCGGTACTTTCCTTCCACACTCTCCCACCATGTATAAGCGATTCCTTCAAGCAAACGTGAAGCAACAATCAACTTCACGTCATGTGTTATTTGCACGTCTCTCGATGCATCCTTTACTTTCTTGATCCAATCGGCGGCAACGGTAATATCGCCGATGCCGTCGAAGGACCTGCACCTATGGATGGACTCGGGTCCGGGCTGGGTCCGGGTCAGGCCTAAGCCCGGGCGGGCCGGCGGTTCAGAAATGGTGGACCCGGGACCGGCCCGGGTAACCACCGGGTCCGAGCCGGGCCGGGCCGGGCCCATTATCATTTTTTTGTTTTCCTCTTCCTAATTAACCCCCCTCCCACCCCCAACCCCCCAAACCACCCTAAATGGCCCAAAATACCCAGCCCAACCCGAAAATTTAAAAAAAATTGAAAAAAATAGGTTTTGGCCCGAACCGGGCCCGGGCCTGGCCGGGTCGGGCCTAGTTTTGGGTGACCCGAGCCCGGACCGGAAAACCCACGGGCCGGGCCTACCCGGACCGGTCACTGACCGGGCCACCGGGTTGGGCCGGGCCGGAACAGTACCGGTCCCGGGCCGGTTCCGGGTCGGGCCACCCGGCCCGAGTCCATCCCTACCTGCACCCTAAGGCTCTAGGCCTCTAGCCTCCTTGAGGTATTTGGAGATTCTCACACAAAATCTCCCTCACGTCCACCATGGGACGTCCCTGACACAGCCCTTGAAACTCCCCGGCTTCCTTGACCCGAGCCCCCTTGAGAGGCACGCCAAGGCTTGGCGCCTAAGTTCCCTCCTTTGTTTCTCTTTTTGGTCACTCGGGAAGGCATATAAATGAATTCTTGAAGATAACTGCGCAGTTAAAAGAGCAGTTATCTTCAAGAATTCATTTGAATGCCTTTCCGATTGAAGTTTTAGTTCAAATTTGATATAAGTAAGCTAGACTTAATGAATAAGATTCTAAAAAAATCATCAAAAAATTCCATCGGGAACCGCCCCAAATGGCACCGGCCGGACAGAACATCCTAAATATGGCCTTATTTGACATTTTTTTCCCAAGTTCGAGACCCTATCTGACCCTTATCCCTTTTTTAAACAATGTTGTAGTGTAAGCAAGGAACTAAAGACAAGGGAGCCATCTAGGATTAATGTGGAAACTACTCCCTCATATGCCCGGCCCTACACCGTAAACAGTGCACGCACAAGAGATCAATAATAAATCACTTACATTCATCCAAGACTCCAAGATAGGGATGGACCTGGTCCGGTCCTGGTCCGGTTCCGGTCCCGGGTATTAAATGTGAAGACCGGAACCAAACCGGGTTTCAATGGACCCGGTTCCGGTCCGGTCTACCCGGCCGGTTCCTGTACGGGTCTGGTCCCCAGCCCCCCCTTAATAAATTTTAAAAAAAATTAGCCGGTCCCGGTTCCGGTCCCCATTTTGCTTACCCGAGACCGAGTCCGGAAATACCCGATCGGGTACCCGGTCCAAGATCGGGACCATAAAACAGGACCCGGTCCGGTCCCGCATAGTAGTGGGTCCGGTTCCAGTCCGGTTTGGGATCGCTGACCGGGTCCACCCCTACTCCAAGAGTACAACTCCAACCATTCTTTTGATACATTTATCAAAGACAACCCATTGCACTATTTTGAACTCATAGCCTCATAGGATGGTTTTAATTTGACTCAGTCTTACATCACACTAGATTTAAATAGATCAGATCAAACTTCAATATTTGTAAAGTACACATAAAGTAGACACCTATCAAGAACAATTCAGACCAGATCCGTCTAGACTTAAACAAATCAAAATAGATACGTTCTTTATTTAATCTAAATTGAAGACATAGGTGAGTTGTGTGATGAGAAGATGTGAGTTTTATGTACAGGTAAGCTTTTATATAAGTACACACATTTATATAAATACATACACAACTAATGTGTCATGTGTGTGATCAGAACATTACTTACTAACTAATTCTATCTCTCGGTCAGGTTAGAATGTGAAAACTATTAAAATCATACTTGATCTTGAAATTTTGTTGGACCAAGACTGTAAAAGAAAAGACCCATAGAGATATTATAAAAAATGGGATAATTCCCGAATAAGGTCTTACTTTCCATTTTAGACAGTTCTAAAATAAGTGTCTTGTTTCCTTTCTTGGAAAGAAATATGTAATTCATATCATTTCACTTTATTATACTCAAACTTCAACCACAATTTTTAGACTACTAGAAATATCGTGTTAAACCAAAATAAGACACATAAAATGAAACGGAGGTACTAATAATTAGTCTACTAGCATATCAACATAATAAAACACTCCTTCCTCTTCACTAAAATGATGTCACCATACATAGCTCCTTATGAGATAGAACCTAATTTAGTAGTTTTTAATATCATACAAGGTTTAATTAAGACAAAAAATAAACACGAATAAAAGTTTTCTGTCTAATAAACAACTCACTATATAATGATCTAGTCTAGTAAAATATAAAGACAATACCCTTTGTTAAGATCTCTTTCAATCATACTCAATCCACCTATATCTATGACGTCCTGTATACGCCTTTTTGCCATCTATTAAAATTGGACTACCTCTCATTAAAATTTCATGGAGCACTACCTTAGGGACACTTAAAAATTATTGTTGATAATTTAGCTGCGATAAATGCTCCTGTTTCTACAGGAGAATTGTTTCAGTGCATTTTACTTGGTTTGGGAAGGGACTATGAGTCCCTTATTACCTCGGTTGGTTTGTTTCCTGAGAGCTTCACATTTGAAAAACTTCACACCAATTTGATTAAGAAGGAGCAAACCCTTTAGTACATGCGGTCTCCGGAAGAACCTCATCCGGCACAAGCTTTTGCTGGTTAGGCATAGGCAGCAGGACCACATCCTCAGGCAGGCAGGCAGGCGCAGTGGGGGAGAGGACAACGTGGCCGGGGTGGCCGCGGACAGCGTGGTCGGTGCTACGGTCCACATCAGCCCGGTCATGGCTATGACCCATAGTATGGATATGTTGTACCCCCAGCCGGCTACTTTCCAGGGGGTGCACCTCATGCTGACATTCTTGGGGCTCCAGGCTCGGCAGGTATGTCTGTTCAGTCACATTTTTATACTTATGCCTTATCTACCTCTTTTACTAATTGTGGTTCTACAGGCTCTTCCTCGGTTGAAGGGAACTCTGTCCCTCCTCCTATAGTCAGTCATATTTGCTATGCTCCAGGTCATCCCGTTTCTACTTGTCCGTCTCGTTTTGTTCAGCCGGTTGCACCTAATCTTGCTGCTCCAGCTCCTGAAGCTTCTGACGTTGTATGGTATCCTGACTTACGTGCCTCATCACACATGACTCCTCATCTAGGTATTTTGACAAATAAATCATTTTCTCCCAATTCTCGTTCTATTGTAGTAGCAAATGGTACAACTCTCCCTGTCATGCATACTGTTCAGGTTACTTTGAGTTCTTCGCCTCGCCCTCTCCACTTAAAACATGTTCTTCGTGTTCCTAATATTAAATATAATCTTTTGTCTATTAAAAAATTATATGCTCACAACAACTGTTTTGTAATTTTTGATAAAAATTCTTTTTCTGTAAATGATCCAACAACGAGGGTGGTTCTACTTCGAGCATCCAGTGATAATGGTGTCTATCCCGTTCGCCAGTTTGCACCTTCACCTGCTGCTTTATCTGTTGTTTCTATTTCCCTT